GTTGATATAGTTGGTTTGCTAAGAGGTTTTTTTTTTTTTTTTTGGCATGCATTTGTGTCTTGTTAATGTTGAGCTCAGAGATGCATTTAAAAATTTGAAAATATCATTTGTATTAGTTTGACTGGACCCTGTACATATAGAGAGGATGTTGGCCAGTAAATGCTGGTAAGCTGTTAACAGCTTGGCCACCCAGTGGGAGTGGGTGGTGTGCTGTTTCACTGTTCATGCCATTCATTCATGAACTCCTTTTTCCAGCCAACATAGCAATCCCTTTATAAACATTTAAAGAAACTCCATCTATACCAATGGATAGAAAATCAATTTGTGAGGTGACAGTCAACAACTGAAGAATGAGAATGTAATATAGTGTAAACCACTGAGTCGGTCTGATTCAGTGTTGTTGTTTTTTTAATCTGTTCAATCACATCTGATTCTCAGAGACTGCCTGGAGTCCCTGCAGTTTTCTTGGCAAGGTTTTTTAGAAGTGGTTTGCCACTGCCTCCTTCTGAGGGCTGAAAGAAAGTGAATGACCCAAGGTCATCCAGCTGGCTTTGTGCCTAGGTGGCACTAGAACTCATGGTCTCCCAGTTTCTAGCCTACTGCCTTATTCACTACACCAAACTGTCTCTCTCAATGGTACAAAAATATAATAAATAAATAAATAAATTAAACCAGATCCCATGACTCAGAACAGAACACAGAATTCTCTGTTCTATCAGTGTCTCTAGGATTTATGTGGCTGTGTGTATTCCTGTTTTTAACTGACCTTTGGCCAATATTTCTGCAACATTACTAGCTGGTACCAACAGCATGGACTTATAGCCCATACTGAGATTAAGAACAAGGTAGACCAGAATTTTACTGCCCAGAATTTCTGAAGTATTTCAAGATTTGTTCTGATAAAACAGAATACATGCAATGTTTTGAATTTTGTTTTATCACAATGTAGCCAACTTAGAGCATTGCAACTTTCATGCTTATCTCTAGATGGACACCATGTTCCTCCATATGATGTTGTACCCTAAATCCTATCATTCCTTGCCAGGATGGTTAAAGATGACTGTAATGCAGTTCAACAAAATCTGGAATATCATATATTGCACACCCTGTCCTACATCTTGCTTCAAACTGGGATATTCAAAGCCTCTCAGATATGACAGAAACTTTCTTGAATGCTTTGCTAAACCACATATTCTTAGCTGGCTTGCTACATTCTGTATTTCTATATTGCTTCTACTAAGTCTGGAACAACAGGAAATAAAAAAATTGAATGAGGTTAAGAAGAATCCATTAAAATACGACATCTTGCAGTTATCATTACTGAGGTTAAGAAGAGATAAAAAAACGGATAAATATATTAATGTTAATATAGACATTTAAAGAATACTTATTCTATAGATTTGTAACACATTATGTCTACCTCCGGAAAGCTTAAAAATTAACTTCCATTTTTTGAACAAATATACTGCATTGCAAGATCATTTATTCACTACGAACCATTCAGTTCAGAAGAAAATCCTAATCCTGTAGTGTTAAAATCAAATAATCACTTAGTAAAAAATCCACTGCATAGTGTCAGCATCTGAAATCATAAACAAACTGAAAGTATCCATAAATCACCTAGACCCCCTCTGCACTGAATCAGAGAAGAAAATCCACAAACAAACAATAAATAAATAAACAGCAGTTAAATGATACAAATCCAGAAATATTTTGAATAAAAATCATTAGCAGATATTCTGCCAAGATTAAGTAATTATCAGTAATTTCCCCCTGTAAACCTCTGTATAGCAGTTTTCTTTTGGTTGTTTCTACAGAGGTTAACATAGTCCTCTGTAGGACTATTCAATGGTCATTAAAAAAAATACTATTCAAATTATATTTAGGAATGCATAGGTTTCTATGAAGATATTCCACAATGTCTATATTTTATTAAAAAGTAGGACTTAACATTTTAATAAACCTAATTACAAAAGCTTGACATCCAGATTGTACTAAGTATTGCAATTGATTTCCTTTTGACCTTTTACATTTCTGTTTGGCCAAAAGTCAACTGGATGTTACTGTTAATGGGTTTTTAGTATTGCTGCACAGAAAAAAGAATGCTGTCTCATTGCCAAACAGTGTAAAATCCAACAAATATCAGTCATGAAATCCTGCATAATAGTTACAAAATTAATAGAAAAAAGTACTTATTTCAGCTGCTTTTTAAAGTGTAAGCTAAAAATATTTTCTTTGGGTACAACATATCTTCCCAGATAGACATAGCATATTGATTTCATTATGAAAGAAAAATGCTCGTTTTATAAATTCAGATAAACAACTAGCATTAGCCTTAAAATGACCGTTGAATAACTAACCCCACCTCCAACCACCTTCCCTTTTATGGACAAATAGATATGTTCCAGATGAGTGCTAGCAGTAGTTAAGAGTTGCTGATTCATTATGTTATGCTGACATGGTATGAAACAGCATTTTAAAAAAAAAAAAAAAAAAAGACTTGGCCACTGTACCACCTTAAAATTTAAATGCACTGTTAATATGACAAGTCATTTCAAATCAAGAACATTTTAGTTTATTTTTCTCCTTGTACATGAAATATTATAAACATATTTTCAATAAATTCCTTCTGTTACTGGAAGCCAGCCACTACATGATTGCAATCTACATTGCAAAATCTAGAATATATTAATGGATTTAAAATATCTGATTTCTCATTAGACATGACTATCTGCATATTTAGGAGATGTGACCTGTTCAATTCATGGAAATATGGTGTGATACAGTAATTAAAAGTGTCCTATTAATCCTTGGGAAACCCCACTCAGCTATAATGTTCATTAAATCTTTCAACCTAACCTCCTTCTTGAGTTTGCTTTGAATACAAATAAATAAGATAAAAGTGAAAGAACCATATATTTTCCTTAAAAGGAAGATAGGTTATCATAATAAATAAGTATAAAAAGAAAGCACAAATTAAAATGGCAAAACTGTATGTTTCTGAAGTGTAAAAGAGAGAAAAATACCCCATGTTCTTGGCTCCCTAATTCAGATAACAACAATCATTTAGGTGACTGGAGATCAGACTGACAGTAAAAACCCAGTTTTAAATTTTCAGGGTAAAACTCAGTGAACAACACTGGACTAATTAGTCAGCCTCATCTATTAAACTGAACTGTTATGATGCTATCTATCTATCTATCTATCTATCTATCTATCTATCTATCTATCTATCTATCTA